TGTAAACTCATAAACACTTACTAATAAAATTAGACTCTTCGATCATTTCTAGAACAAAAGGTATCTATTATTGAATCTATATCGATTACTTCCGTCATTTCTCTTTCAACGTTGACAACTAAGAAAAAAAAAACTTTCTATATAAGAGGTGTTATTATATTGGGCAAAAAAATTTGTTTTTTAATTGTGGTTCAAAAATTTTGTTTTTAATGTTAACCCAAAAATTTTGATTTTTAATTGTGGACAAAAATTTTGTTTTTAATGTTGGGTCAAAAATTTTATTTTTTTAATATTTGGTCAAAAGTTTTTGCAATAGGTTTAAGTAGATTTTAATAAATTTGGGTAGATAATATTGGGCTCAAATTTTTTTGTTTTAAATGAGTTAAATTTTTTAATTTTTCTTGGGTAAATAATATAAATGAGGGACACACATAATATATTATATAAATATATAATAAATATACCCTACTAAATATATATATAAAAATATATAATACATTTATCTTACCGGTAGTGTATGAAAGTGATAATTTTTTTTTTTTTACTCTGAACTTCATCCCACCGTAGTCCACCGATGGCTCCGTCCTCGTCAAGAACCCACCCTACAAATGAAATCCATTAGAATTTTTCAAACCTAACTGAATTCCAAGTTGCGTGGCTAAGACACCTCTCCTGAAATTGGAACAGATCTAGAAGGAGATGAGATTGTATCGTAGAACCAACCGTCGCAGACGAAGGTTCCATCATAGATGGTGATCCAGCCGACCAAGACCATGTTATGAGACACATAGACATCGACAATGACAATCGGGATTAACAACCCCAACGGAATTAGCTTTCTCTTCCCTCTGCAGTCCCAATTCAATCGATCATCAATGGCTTATATGGACTCCCTATTTTTTTTATTTTATTTTTTTTTGCGGCTCCGTTGGCGACTGTGCGATGGTGGAGAGGAACATCTCTATTTTTTGGAAACGGGTTAAGATCTTGGGCATTTTGTTTGGAGAGAGAGAGAGTAACGATTGAGAGAAGGAGAGAAAACAAGGAGGCAGAGAGTCATTCAGGAGAAGGGAGAGAGAAAGGCAGACAGGGCGAATTAGGAATTAAGTGGAATTAGGGTTTGTAAGATATTAAATTGGAAGAATATGAACGACATAATTATGTTTTTTGAACAATAAAGATGAAAAAAAAAATTTCATCTATTTTGATATTTTAAACTAATATAGATAAATTATAATTTAATTTTTAAAAATTATAATTTAATCATTAAAAATTATAATTTTTATAACCGATCCTTATATTTTAGAATCAATCATAATTTAGTGATTAAAACTAATAATTTTGGATACAATACCAAATCGGTACGGTATTCTTTTTCCCATTTGCAGGATAAAGACTATATACTGTCGATGGTATCGTATCGAAAATTATAATTTTTTTAAAATTAAGTTATAATTTTAAAAGGTATAATCAACCATAAAAAATTATAATAAAAACTAAGAGTTTGTAATCCGTCATCGTGAATATTTGTGATCGATCATGACCGTCCTTTCGGCAATTCACGATACAATAGCAAATGTTCCTAGACTTTCCCTAATTTCAGTATTATATAAGGATTTATTGATGGGACCCATCTAAGTGATAGAACACTGATACTTCAAGTACATTAACAGACACGTGGAATGGTGGTGTGTATCCATGGTCACAGTATGGTCTCTCAAAGCAGGGTAGCATTTTTCAAGTCGTCGGCAAGTAACCCTGAACCGTCCACGTGTACGTCGGTGAGACGTGGAATACAGTAAAAACTACGACTTTTTCCGAGATAGAGTTAAAAAAAAGATTGCTTCGAAAAAAAAGATTAATTGTGAGGGTTCAGTTCGATCCAAAACTACTTTATTACACGTGTCAGTATCACACGGGTGTTGATCAGACGTCGGTCACATTGATCTACATTGGGTGAGTATCGAGTCGTACTTAAAACAGTAGACATCACAAATAAATTAAACATTAATCAAGTAGTATAAATAAGTATATAAAATAATAAATTATTTATTTATAATTACATAAATTAAAATCAATCTTGTCCTACCATTTAAAAGATTAGTAATACACGTCAAATAGGAATAAATAAATAAATGAAAGCATATAAGTTAGTTTAATTGACTTTATTATAATAATTAAGGATACAATAGAAAATTAAAAATTTTCGTAAATGCTGATATTTATGAGTAATATAGATATAAATATAGATACGGGGGTGGGTAAATTTTTTATTTTAATTTTTTTGGCTCAACGGTCGAGTGTTTGAATCAGCTTATTCACACCTCAATTAAACACTTTCTCAGCCTGGTCAATTAGAGTATTTATAAGGGATAAATCTCTAATAACTTAACTCTAAGAGTTTGACAAGATTTAAAATCAGGACGTCTAAGTTTACAGTTTGTCTCTATTATCACTTGAATAGTTTATTCGAATACAACGAACAAATTTGAAAGAATCTGCCCTTGTGTAATTCAGTAATTTGATTTGAAGGCTATGAACAAATTACACTTTCAAACTTGTACATACGGGCATTAGACTGTTCGAAAACACTTCAATACATAAATTAGGTAAGGGTATGATATTAAGCAATACAATCACTAGGGAAATAAAGTGTGTATCTTTGACTTAAGTTCATCCGATATTTATAATAATATGTACCCATTTTTTAGGGTTCACNAAAAAAAAATTTCATCTATTTTGATATTTTAAACTAATATAGATAAATTATAATTTAATTTTTAAAAATTATAATTTAATCATTAAAAATTATAATTTTTATAACCGATCCTTATATTTTAGAATCAATCATAATTTAGTGATTAAAACTAATAATTTTGGATACAATACCAAATCGGTACGGTATTCTTTTCCCCATTTGCAGGACAAAGACTATATACTGTCGATGATATCGTATCGAAAATTATAATTTTTTTAAAATTAAGTTATAATTTTTTTTTAGGTGTAAATTATAATTTTAAAAGGTATAATCAATNAAAGTTTCATTCGAATAGTGATTATCTCTTGTGTTTGCTTGTTCTTCTGCCACTACCAGTGTTGTATTGCAATGCAAATCAAGATTGAGCAATGTTACATGGAGTTAAAAAATAGACTTAAAGATTAGATTTGATAATTTCAACCATTAATTTCACTGTAGGTATCAGCATTTATTCTAATCCACTATCTATTCAATGGTTAAAATTATTAAATATAATTTTTAAGTCTATTTTTCAAGTCTATCTAGCATTACTAAAAATCTTAAAGGATAATGTTTTCTATTACTTGATATTTTCTCCCTCTCTCTCTCTCTCTCTCNACATTAACAGACACGTGGAATGGTGGTGTGTATCCATGGTCACAGTATGGTCTCTCAAAGCAGGGTAGCATTTTTCAAGTCGTCGGCAAGTAACCCTGAACCGTCCACGTGTACGTCGGTGAGACGTGGAATACAGTAAAAACTACGACTTTTACCGAGATAGAATTAAAAAAAAGATTGCTTCGAAAAAAAGATTAATTGTGAGGGTTCAGTTCTATCCAAAACTACTTTATTACACGTGTCAGTATCACACGGGTGTTGATCAGACGTCGGTCACATTGATCTACATTGGGTGAGTATCGAGTCGTACTTAAAACAGTAGACATCACAAATAAATTAAACATTAATCAAGTAGTATAAATAAGTATATAAAATAATAAATTATTTATTTATAATTACATAAATTAAAATCAATCTTGTCCTACCATTTAAAAGATTAGTAATACACGTCAAATAGGAATAAATAAATAAATGAAAGCATATAAGTTAGTTTAATTGACTTTATTATAATAATTAAGGATAAAATAAAAAATCAAAAATTTTCGTAAATGCTGATATTTATGAGTAATATAGATATAAATATAGATACGGGGGTGGGTAAATTTTTTATTTTAATTTTTTTGGTTCAACGGTCGAGTGTTAGAATCAGCTTATTCACATCTCAATTAAACACTTTCTCAGCCTGGTCAATTAGAGTATTTATAAGGGATAAATCTCTTATAACTTAATTCTAAGAGTTTGACAAGATTTAAAATCAGAACGTCAAAGTCTACAGTTCGTCTCTATTATCACTTGAATAGTTTACTCGAATACAACGAACAAATTTGGAAGAATCTGCCCTTGAGTAATTCAGTAATTTGATTTGAAGGCTATGAACAAATTACACTTTCAAACTTGTACATACGGGCATTAGACTGTTCGAAAACACTTCAATACATAAATTAGGTAAGGGTATGATATTAAGCAATACAATCACTAGGGAAATAAAGTGTGTATCTTTGACTTAAGTTCATCCGATATTTATAATAATATGTACCCATTTTTTAGGGTTCACAATCATTGCTGGAACATTGTGACAGTTATTTTTAGTCAAATTTTTACGATTGGTATTTGTATTTTTCTAAGTTTTCTTTTTCATTAGTCGATTTTTAAGATCTTATATTTATAATGTTCACATTTCAAATAAACAATTTCCTTAATTGGTTGCTCACAATCGCCTCTCTTTATTTGTGATATCTTAATTATCTTCTGTTTGAGTGAGCTTAATCCTTAGATCTTGAATCGTGGAATTAAAGTTTCATTCGAATAGTGATTATCTCTTGTGTTTGCTTGTTCTTCTGCCACTACCGGTGTTGTATTGCAATGCAAATCAAGATTGAGCAATGTTACGTGAAGTTAAAAAGTAGACTTAAAGATTAGATTTGATAATCTCAACCATTGATTTCACTGTAGGTATCAGCATTTATTCTAATCCACTATCTATTCAATGGTTGAGATTATTAAATCTAATTTTTAAGTCTATTTTTCAAGTCTATATAGCATTACTAAAAATCTTAAGGATAATGTTTTCTATTACTTGATATTTTCTCCCTCTCTCTCTCTTCACATCATATCAAAACTCACAACCCATTCCATTAGAAACCAGAAAATGGCAGGAATTATCAAAAAAGTAGAGCAGACCCTAGGCATGGGAAGACCCAAGAAAGGTGATAAGCAGTCTGGTGTGCACAAGCATGGCTATGGTGGTCAGCAGAAGGTAGGTGGTGGGTTTTTGGACAAGGTGAAGGGCAAGATTCCTGGAATGGGTGGTCAATGGGCGAAAGGCAGGAAGAAGAAGAAGAACATCGATCACTTTGGTAAGTTTTATATGTTAATGCAGGGATGGATCTATAATTTAGGTTTTAAGCTTTTATTCATTTTGAAAATTGTTTAAATGTTATGTATACTAAAAGTTATGATCTAATCGTGTCAAATGCAATCTTAATCGGTTAACTTTCGACATCAAATAACTTTTTTTTCTGTGGCTCGTCTTGTAGGTTGATGGATTATTGGGGAAGTGCTGATCTGCTTGTAGGTGTGAAGAATAATGAAAAAAAAAAAAAAAAAGAAAAAGAAAACCAGAAATATCTTATATGGTTTCTACTTTGTCCTAGTTGCTTGACTGTTTGAAGTGTTTCTTATTTAGGCTGGGAAGGAAATGTAATGATTCTACTCTGTATGTTGATAAACATGCTAATAATATATTTTCCTTGGGCTTGTTTGTAAAACCATTGTAGTTTGTGAAGGTGCAGTGCGAGAAATAAATAGTTAACCAAGAAACCCATGGGATACAACAAACATCACGGCTTGTGACTTCAAATGTATTCCGTTGAAGATCATCCATCCATCCATCTTGAACCAAGTCGATTTAAATTGATTGGTCATGGGCGGACTTCTATCCATACAAAGTCATTGATTGATTGATTTATTACTGAAACAAACTGCAAAAATGTATATCGGTGGGAATTTGAGTCCCCAATAGTGAAGGACAAGTTTTTTAACAATAGAGAAGTACAGCGAGGGCAAGGGCAAG